CCTCTTAATAACTAAATTTCATAACTAAAGTTCACGTGCTGTGTTAACTATCTTAGTTCTATCGCAATAGTACCCAGTGTCTCTCGGACAACTCTTCTGGGCCTGGTGACCTGTCGCGTACACCATACTTGATTGTTTTTATTCTAAACTCGTACGCATAGCGTAAGATAAAGACTACGAATAGATAAATAACTTAGTAAATATGATATAACAAATAGGAAAAACTACGAAACATTACTTAAACTGCAAAAACGACAAGAAATAAGGGAAACGAATAACTTACATTTGTGTATGAAGGGACGAACTGCGAGCACCAACTAACTAAGTATTTGCATAGGAGCGTTTATAAGGCATACAAAAACTCCTATGGGACTAGGCTAACAATGACGAAAATGCTTAGAATGAAACGAGTGAAACAAAAGCTATAAAACACTTTTATAAACAAATCTAGGACAAAGAAAATTACACCAAAAACTCGTTATCGGCAATTCAGATCTAACAGGGCATGTTCAGGAAAGAGGGGGTACCTCAACCGAAAATTTTTATTCCACAAAGACTTACGTCCTAATTCGTCTTCTGCAGTATTCAAAACAGCAACCCAGTCTTGAACTCCTAAAGTGCATACCATATGCACCAAAATGAAAAAACGTTGTTGGGTTCAAAAAAAGGTTATATCGTCAAAGCTAAGACCGAAGGGGAGCATGGGAAGACAAACAATTATGCTAATTTCATGCGTATTGCAGTTTTCCCTTCCTGTTCCATTTTATGCATCATGGCTTTGGCATGTTAATCTAGGTCGACCGACTTTGCTCTACTGTGCATTTTTACATGTCTATATGCATATATAATACACATTTCGGAGTACCCAAAATCCTTTTCGGTCTTAGCTTCGATGATATGACCTTCTCGAACCCGACTACGTTTTTTCATTTAGGTGTATCCGTTAAAAACTTTGTAAGGAATTGCATAAATTTGCACAAATTAGTAAGTTCATCAGACCTCAGTAAATCTTAGACCTACAAAACTTCGCACAAATTTGTACAATTTTGTTAGTTAACTTTTTCACGGATACATGGACGTATGCACTCTGACCGCTAGTCGTTATGACCAACCTCAATCTACTAAATTACATGCACGTTATGAAGAAACATCCAACAGGAATGTAATTGATGGTTTTCAACCATTCCCAAGAGAATTAAATAACAAAAGACACGGCGGCCATGTTGGAGGATAAAACAAAAGAATTCATTGACAATTCTTTTGTTAAGTTCCTCCAACATGGCCGCCGTGAAAACCATCAATAACATGCACCCCAGCCAAGAAGCCAACGCTTTGATACTTGTTACCTGGCCTTGGACGATGTTTTTGTTTAATGACACTTTATCAAACAATATGATAACAATTTTTCTCGTTCTGTCAGCGAGGACTCGAGCAAAAAGCACCTTCTCATCAGTGACGTCATCTCGAGTACTTTGGACCCGAAACCAGAGGGTGTTTTGCCAGAAAATGTCACGATTATCCTGGAACACACCAACATGGTAACAAGAATTTCACCATTTAGTTGTCATCAGTTTATATCTTCCAAAAGGAAAAGGAGAAAAAAACTTTTTAAAAACCTGAAAACAAATCAAACATATAATAAAGAAATAGGAATAAAATATGTGTCAGAAGTGGGATTCGAACCCACGCCTCCATCGGAGACCAGAACACTCGCTCCCAAGCAACTTGTGAAGGTATGACCTTGAGTCTGGCGCCTTAGACCGCTCGGCCATCCTGACACTTGGTGAATAAATACTTTATGTGAGGTTTATTATCATGAACATAAGCTCATAGGATCAGAAACACGGTACATGCAACTGGCACATGCAACGTTTCTCTTGGAAATAGGGCTTTTAATTTAAGAAATGCTATATATTTTCATATATACAGTCTATGTAATATCTATTATATTTATGTTACTGTAAATTTATTATTATGTTATATCAGGAATTTAAACTAGCCTGTATAAGTATTGTAAAAAACAAGTAAAAAACATAATAATTTTTCTTTTAAGAAAAACGATTGCAGGATTTTTGCAGAGTGACACTTACACAAATGCTCTTTTTATAAGTCTATTGATTCGCTTGGTTTTCAATTCTATAGTCGCAGCCATCCAGCTATAAACCGAAATGTGTTTTCTGGAAGTTTAAAGTTGAGTAAGTACTGTAACTCCTTTCTTACTAAGCCAAAATAATCTTTGAAACTGAGATTCTCAGTGTGAAAAGAAGTAAGGCCCTGTCCACACGTGTCCGCAAATTTTTGTATCCGCAATTTTTTTTTTTTTTTTTTTTCGGATACGCAAAAATCTTTGCTTCCACACGCAGCGTATTCGAATCATTTTCGAATCGTTTTCAATGTCCACACGTATCCGGAAATTTCTTGATCCGCCCTGATGCTTATTGGGCATGCGCAAAATCGTGTTTACGTCAGCGTATTCGAAAATTTGCGGAAACGACCGTCCACACGTATCCGTATTCGGTGCGTATTCGAAAATTTCCACTCTGGAGACCGTTTTCGAAAATTTCCGGATACGGATACAAAGACTTCCGGACAAGTGTGGACGCAACCCGTATCCGCAAAAAAAAAAAAAAAAAATTGCGAATACCCAAATTTCCGGGTACGTGTGGACGGGGCCTAAGAAAAATAAGCCATGTATCGAATTCTTTGACAGGTTCAAGAGGTGGGATGAACAAACAAACAAATGACAGACGAATAAGAGAAGCTAATTCATTCGTTCAAAATTCTTTTCAGTAATCAATTCAATGGTACATGGTCTTCGTCTGGCTGTACTGTTAAAGAATCCAACAACAACCGAACCGTGTGTTCATGTAATCACATGACAAGCTTCGCTTTACTCATGCAAGTTGATGAACAAAAAACTGTAAGTTGTATGCTTCTTTTCTAATTTTCTCTTCAATACCACATCTTTATATAATACTCTGTTTTCTGATTGGTTGATTGGCCGTTAATTTTTTCTTTACTTGTGCAATAAATGAATGGAACAGGGCGCATGTGTGCAATTAATCCGGGAACGTTTTTACCGTGTTTTATGGTTTGGAATCAAAACATGGGATCGGATGCTATCATTTCTTGTAAACTTTTATGTAGACAACATGTCTGTGTTATTCTTAGTAATATACATTGTAAATTTATGATAAAGTCGTTGTTGTTGTTGTTGCTGCTGTTGTTGTTGCTACTGCTGCTGCTGTTGTTGTTGTTGTTGCTACTGTTGTTGTTGCTGTTGTTTCTGTTGTTGTTGATGTAAAAACTCCGACGAAGACCGTTTTACGTCCAGAGCTTTAGTACTGCTTAAACATGGTGTTAAATTAAGTTTACTTTTATCTTGTTTATAAGTCATAGGGGCGGCGGAACCGGGGGGCCCCACCAAATTTTTTGGGGGGCCTGGCTCCCCCCAAAAATATTGGTTCATCAAACAAAACATTGTCATTACCACATAGCGTTAAATATAATCTTCAATGCCCCCCCCCCCCCCAAAGAGTTTTGCAGTGCCCCACCCCACCCCACCCCCAAAGATTTTTAGCTTCCGCCGCCCCTGAGTCAGGTTGTATTGAACTCCCCAATAATGCAGTCTTAGCTACTAACTGCTAGTCATTTATATCGAACATTGTTTATTGATCTTTGATTCGAACGGGATGTCGTCGAACCTCAGCAGAAAATAAATGAACAAAGTGATGTAAAAGCCTGAAAACAAATCCATATAAAAATATATGTGTGTCAGAAGTGGGATTCGAACCCACGCCTCCATTCGGAGACCAGAACGCCCGCTCCCAAGCAACTTGGGAAGGTATGACCTTGAGTCTGGCGCCTTMGACCGCTCGGCCATCCTGACACTTGGTGAATACTAAATAATCGTTTCCAACCAAAAGAGAATAATGAAATTACGTACGGCTATTTCAAAAGCAAAGATTGGTGAAAGATGTGTTGCATTTTGCATACCAAGCTCGTAATGCACTATGGGAGCAATGTGAATGCAAACAGCGAGAAGTCACAACAACAATATTAAATGTTACCAAACGTTGTCTACACGTTTTTCCGGCATATCTTTACTTGTGCAACATCATTCATATATAATCCACAATACATTTCAAGCTTGGTATGCAGCATGCAACAAAATATTCATCAACTGCCTTTAAAATAGCTGTTGTCTTGACCATGGTTCTGGCTGTCAAACCAAGAGAGGACGAAGAGAAGTGGTTGGTTTCTGTATTTATTATGCTTAACCGGTGATATCGTATTTATATCTTCCAAGCTCGATATAAAGGAGAAAACAAACTCTTTAAATCCTGTTAAAAAAAGCAAAACAAACATATATAAACAGCAAAAAATATGTGTCAGAAGTGGGATTCGAACCCACGCCTCCATTCGGAGACCAGAACGCCCGCTCCCAAACAACTTGGGCAGGAATAACCTTGAGTCTGGCGCCTTAGACCGCTCGGCCATCCTGACACTTGACACTTGATTTTATTATACATCACTTGAGAATAAGATCCTATGTTTTAGTTGTATCCATATTCATGTGTCTTCTTATGCGCAACTGTTAAACAAAGAAATAGTGCTCTAGGGAATGACACATGGTCTGAAATGGGAAAATATAACACCAAAGGCAATAGATTTTTTCTCGTGGTTCTCCGCACGCCCCTGGCCTTTTTTCATATACATGTATATAGTAAACCAAATATTACATTCTTTGGTTGTTTCATATAACACCAATTAGTGTCAGGATGGCCGAGCGGTCTAAGGCGCCAGACTCAAGATACCTTCCCAAGTTGCTTGGGAGCGGGCGTTCTGGTCTCCGAATGGAGGCGTGGGTTCGAATCCCACTTCTGACACAATTTTTTTCAAACACATTTTTAATTAATTTTTAAAATATTAAATATCAAGTGTTTCTTTTATTATAGATGAACTGCTTCAACAACCTTAAGATTATAAATTTGATAATTGAGCTTTCGGGCTGAGCGCCCATTATCAGGGTACAATATAATAGAATGAAAAATATTATTCGTCGTGGAAAAGTAATAAATGATACTTATTCGTTTTTCTCACGATTGAGGGTCATTTGTAGAGGACCGCGACGTTTCGACTGCAAACTGCTAGTCTTCATCAGGCGATGGTGTAGACTGGATGGTGTGTCTGTCATATACCGCTCGTCGGGTTATCTGCGTCGTGAGTGGATGGTCGGTTCATGTATTCCTATTGGACGTTTCGTTGATGAGTCTCCGTACCGCCCGATGAAGACTAGCCGTTTGCAGTCGAAACGTCGCGTTCCTCTACAAATGACCCTCAATCGTGAGAGAAATGAATAAGTATCATTTAGTACAATATAATGTTATTAAGTTTATGATTTAAAGGTTGTTGAAGCAGTTCATCTATATATTGATATTTACTAATCTAACGAAGTCCCTAAACATGGAAAATTATATAACAAATAGCATATCAATATAATGATCTAATCAATGAAACTCTTGCATCGTTCGAACAGGATAGCGAGTACAGATTAGCCATGAAGTACATAACGTATATTGGTTGTAGTTTCTCACTTCTTGGCGAAGCACTCACTGTACTTGCCTATGTACTACTCATGTGAGTATATATCGCAAATAACGAGATAATCCATCTTTTACTCTTTATACGTCTAGCTTTAGGGCTTCCTATTGCCATCCCAATCCATCACAAAACGCTTTATGAAGGTAAGAGAGGGGGATTCTCCCATGTTATACACAAGGAGATTGGAGAAGGCAGATACCGTGGATCCGAGAATAGAATAAGATGAGAAAATGAAATAAAATACAGCCAATAGGTACGCCTGTCAAAAGGCAAGACACGGACGCGAAAGCCTACCAATAACATCGCATGACATCAGCATTGGCTATCCAATTAAAACGCTGGTAAACGGCACGATCACGCGGTATTGAATTTTCCTTGGAACCAATCAAAATGCTTGGATACTGTCACCGTCCCTGAACTTATTTCTTTTAAAGTCATAGGTAAACTTCCCTATTCTTTCACTGGAACGTTACTAATTTAGGAGTAATGTTTTCCCATTTCAGACCACGTCAGTGTCATTCTCTTGCGAATAAAAATCTTTGTTTGAGTTGTATCCATATTCATGTGCCTTCTCTAGAGACAAGAATGGCACATGGTCTGAAATGAAAAACATTTTGCTCAAAGATAATAAGATCTTTATTTTACTGATAAAAATATTGATTTTTTTAAAAATTTATTTTCCAGGAACATGAAACACGAGCAGGCGCAGATCAGAGTAAACCTTGCTGTTTCACTTGCTGTTGCTCAGATCTTCTTTCTGTCTGGTATCACGGCTACAGAAAACCAGGTAAGAAAAGCGCCCATTCAATAGCAGTGGATGGATATCTTTTATAAATTTTTGCTTTACCAAAAATAAGAGCCAATGAAATAGGGGGGGAAAAAAGGAAAGGAAATTTGATTGGTTCCAGCTATAGCTACCGCTCATTTGATTGGTTACTTTACCCAGTGGGCAACAACTTTTTCACGGATACATGGACGTATGCACTCTACTAGAGCGAGCATCAAGGGCGAGTATACTTATCACGACCACACACTTCATTTCCAGGGTGTCTGTACATTTGTTGCCGTCATGATTCACTTCTTCTACCTCGTGGCGTTCGGTTGGATGATGCTTGAAGGAGTCTACCTTTATCTCATGGTTGTCAAGGTTTTCAACACCATCATCAAGATGAAGCTGTACTACCTGTTTGCCTGGGGTGAGCATCCATATTGACCGCTGCGTTCCATTCCCAAAATCACTCCRCTCTCTTAGAGCCTGCGTCAATATTGTCACTGCTGGCCGACGAAACGCGCAGGCTTTGATGCCAGTAATAAGCCCAATTTGATGTGAAGTTTTGCACGATTAGTGTCTCGCCCTAACTGCCGGTTTTTCAGTTTTCAGTCACCCCATCGAAACCCAACACCGACGCTGAATTCCAACAAGTCGATCTTTGAGCCCTGACTTGGACCAGTCCACTGGGAAGGTTCTTTTGAGAACTCCCAATGACCTAACGCAAAATCCTAAGGATATCATGTTATTTTTTTGTTAACAGGTTATCCGGTAGTTATTGTGGCAGTTTCTCTCATCATAGCCTCCACCCTTGAAGATGGCATCAACAGCTACACTCGCGACAATTTGTAAGTACAGACTTGTGTCGCTATCTAGTTTTCTTCGGTGACACAACTTTGGATGGGTTGAAAAATACACCAAATACACTTCCTCGAAGGTGTGAATGCATGGGGTTTAACAGTAATCTGACAATTGGCTTAAAAGAATAAGTAGTTAACTGACAATCGGGTACCCCCATCCAATACCCCTTGCTCATACAGATCGGGTAACCCCATCCAATAC